GACCTAGTACGCATGCGTAAAGTATGGAACGCCGACTACGCAACAATTTGCTGATGATGGAGCTGCTATCGGATTGTCATAGAGATATAATAAGAATACTAGAGCGCTAACAGCAATGTATTCGATGTTCGAAATACGCAGAGCTGTGTGTGTGTACCATCCAAGATGGCTGCCATAGATTCAGCCAATCAAATTTCGCCTGAGCACTATCATTTTCAATGGCGCCCTCAATTTACACAGAAAGTTAAGTACAGCTTTTTACCCGTATTTTGAAACTCGAGCGTTGCGATGTATGGGTGTAATGTACACGAATTTAATTCTTTTAAATATTTGAATAAGATGCTCTACTTGGCCTCTTTTTGGCTACGACAGTTTAATAATTTGTCATTATCAATACTAATTACCATTAATGAAATAATATTCAGTCAGAGGGCTTATTTATGGACACATCTAGATGTGTATTGTATACTAAGCCTGAAGGTGGCGCTTTCCTACGGCAGCCATCTTGGATGGTACACATACACAACTCTGCATTGCTCCGCCATCTTGTCAGCACTCTAGTTGTTTAATAGCTCTATGCGGATTGTCGATGCCACAGTAAAGATCAAAGGACTGTACGCACGCGCTATGTTCGAGAGCGGAGATGTGCGTCCTTTTGTTAAATTACCTTGGTAGATCCTCAAATTTGCTAGTAACTGAAGTTTTCGAAGTGTCAATCAAACTTAACAAGTAACCAATCATAACAGGCCCAGAAATACGCGCGTCCTTCCACAAACACATGTGCTGTCCAAAAATCGCACGTGTACGCGCAAGTTTTTACATTGTTGTTTTGTGGGAACTTATGCAACAACATCCAATTGGGGAAGGGGGAAGCGGGCTTAGCGGAAAGGTCCATTAATTTAGTATTGATTGGCCCTCACCGCTAAGCCTCGTCCATTAGACATTTTTTCCTACTGTCCCAAAGACCGAAATCGCAAACGTAGGCCCTATATTTCAACCTGTGAGACATGTGCGTTATCATGGCCCTGTTTTGATTCGCAAGTTGTTAATTCTTCAGACTCTAAAAAGTCCTTGTTTTGATCTGTGCCCCACTGGAACTTGATAATTACTTTATCCTTTTAAATGAGAATTCTAAATTGTCATTTATTTTTTAGGGGTTTCCGATTTTGCCACAGTAGTAGTTAATTTTAAGTGTTTATAAGTTCTATATTTTAAGTGTTTACAACCACTTTAATAACCCCCTTCATTATGCACATCTTGTCAAAAGTAATAACATACATATAATAATAAGAATCATATGCAATGACGTCCGTGCATATATTAGTATAACCATCATCCCAGCGAATAATACGTTTGCAGGAGCCAGAGTGTACATTTTTGGAAATCGCATTCGATCTCCAGTCATGCCAAAGAAAAATTTCCCTGCCAATTCTGATCCGGCAGCGACAGCCAGGATCCACGAACTAACATACGTTGAAATCCCAATGTGTTTCATGAAATCAACCTGAAAGTATGAACATACAAATATAATTTTATTACAATGTTTCATAAAATGTTAACGGTTTCATGCTTATTTGGCCTATTTTGCGACAGCAGCACAGACTCATGCGCGTTTATCTATTCTTATTATATCTCTATGATGCTTTCCCAAGTACTGATCATATTATGTCACTGCTCAGTCAAAATATTATTTTGTCGTGCGACAGTTTTTTAAGTAGAGAATATGTGACACCTTGCTCTGTCGTGAATTGGTGTAGTGTTCAGTGTGGAATTGCATAAAACTGTCCCTGTTCCCTGTCATTTGTGTAAATAGGACTTAACACAGTATGCGGTTGTCATTTTTAAGAGCCATTATTACAGGCCTCTGAAATTACACTACATTATTTCCATAAATAAAAACGTATTGAATGCTCTTACTATATTGATGTAGCTGAACATTGTCGCGGTACTAGTAATGATCATTCCAATAACAAAGTACCATGATTCCGGGAAAGCCATTATTTTCCAAAAATTAATGTTTTGTCTCCCTTGTTCAGTGTCTTTTTTTTCAAGTCTATCCTCGTGTTTGAGAAACTTGTCTTTTATTTCCAGGGATGAATTATTTTTCTCTTCCGTGTCGTCATGGAAACTGGCTGGCTTCTGCATGATAAACCTACAAGTCAATCCCACGATTATTGTAATTGCGGCGTAAATCCGTAAAACTCCGCGCCAACCAACAAGTATAAGTAATTTACCTACGATCGGGCTTTGAACCAAAAAACCTATAAAAAGAAAGTTGAACAAGTTTTATTGATAGAAAGTAAACAGGCTGTTAAACAAAAACATTAAAACGCTGAGGAAGGACGGGTGCTGGTTGTGGCAGTTTACTTTTTAGCTGTTGCTTATCAAATTTGTATCTCTACCGAGATCCAGCCATTGTTTCTTACAGCATTGTTGTTTTGCAGTCTTTTGCTTTTTAATCTATATAGCAGTTGTCTCTGGTTTCTTAGTTTGGGCACCTCACACACTCGTAGATTCCTCTTCTTTAACGTTCTAAAATGTATTTATATTTATATAAG